GCAGTCTCTGTAGTGGATGTCGCTGCGACACAGGCTTTTCGTTAGATCCAACTGTCCGAAGCTGCACCTTATTTCACGCAATATCGCTGAAGCAACTGATGAACCCATTTGGATTTCTGGCATCCTACAACGGTTTCGATTCTGCCTGCTGCAATTCGCAATAGCTTCATGTCGCACAACATCGCGATGTACTATAACAAATGTTCGGAACAGCGCAATTCCCCCAGTTGATATAACCGATGAAAAATATTAGGAGGTGGAAATTATTTCCATGTATTTTTCCGTGAACACCCGCCTGATTTTATCGCGTCCTGGCCAACTGTAGCATTCTTCGATAAGACTAATGTGAAGCTATCGAACAGGAAGCGTCTTTTTTCTTCGACAATCAGCCCAGAAACGTACCATCGCTGCCGCTGTGCATCGCCAGGGCAGTCATACAGAATCCACTTTTGTTGAAATTTGTTTCCATACGTTTACGTTCCTCCCTTGATCAGCAGTGCCTCATACGGGAGAAAACGGCAAAAGAAAGCGCGCAAGCAACCCATTCTTCTCGTAGATTCTTCTGTCCTTCCACTCCTTTGATGTGCGCCATAAGTGCAACCTCTCGAGCCACAGCAGACAAGCAGCAAACGCGGCTGAGGCGCGTGATTCGCCACCAAAATAAATCGAAATTAAAACCTCGGCCTCCAGCCCTTGGGCCTCGGCCTCTAGCGCTTCCTTTGCCTCTAATCCGCTTCGGTCCACTTTGACGATATGATTGGTGGCTCCCTGGCAGAACGGGCATTCGGATCGCGGCTTCATCCAACTTTCGATGCACTCAAAGCAGAACAGGCGGTTGTAGGCATATCGCTCTCCACGTGGATATTTCAGTTGGCTCAGACAGACGGAGCAATTACTGCGACCAGTACTCGCGCTTGCAGGCATTTTCACGCCAGCAGATTCGCCGAGGCACTTCTGAGAAGAGTCGCTTCGTTCTCAGGCGCAACCGAGTGGGACAACCAGGCGATATGGAACTGATATTCATGCGCGATATTCGTCATTTATATGTTCGCTTGTTCAACAAACAAATAAATGACAAATATTGCGCATGAATATGCAAATCTGCATATTTCACAAAAGCTGTAAAATTCTACCAGGAGAGGAGCAGTTCTGCATACAGTCAATCCTACCGGGGAGTTATTCATTTCATGTATAATCACTGGAGGCGTGCACCTAAGGTCATGCGTTTTTGCAGTATTTCGTGCTTTGTAAGATCGCTCGGAATCTCAATAGCTAAAATTTGTGAATTACGGGTCCTCGAAGTTCACGAAATTAATTTTGCAACTACATGGTGCTTGGACAAAAAAATCCCCTCAAAATTTGAGCTTTCTAGCTTTTCTGGTCCCCAAATTAGGGACTTACCTGCAAAAAACCTTCATGGGCCCGAACGTGAGTACCACGCGGGTATGAGCGACCATTTGGGGTTGGGGCTGAACGTACGTGTAGAATAAGTTCCCAAAGTTTCAGCCCTGTAGCTTTTGCAGGTCTGGAGATGAAAAACCGTGACAGACGCATACAAAAACACACAGATGCACACACAGAGACAACCCCTTGTCAATGTATGTTTTCTGCATTTCATAGTTGCAGAAAACGCATAACAACAACAGCAGCAACAACAACAACAACAAGCAGAATGTTAGATTTCTAGCGGTAGTGCAGGTGACTTGAAACTTCCACAAAACTTTGTGATATATCACCCAATACAAACTGGTCATGTTCACTTGAAATTTGTAGCGATCCGATTAAATATAAGCAGTACAATAAATATAAGCAGTGCAGCTTTCTGGAGTAGTGGGTGAAACTCGAAACAGACTTCAAAAACAAAATTTGCTCCCACAATTTGGTCAAGCCACTAAAGCAGTTTTGGAGAGAACTGTTATCGAATTTAGCAAACTGATTTAGCATTGCCTGCCAAGAAGCAGGGACTCTGTATAAGTACATCTAAAGGCGGGGATCGGAACAAATCGATGATGTCGATCGGATTCAAGCGAAATGTAGTACTTTTATGGAAAAATTATCGCGGCTTTTCAGTATACATTCTTTGATAACGATGTTGGCTTTGTCGTTGCTATCTGTCTTGCCCCTAAGACACTGTGGAACCCAGGCTGGAACGCACCAGGCGGGCCGGTGCGATTATGCGTTTTTGCACTTTTCGTGCCGCAGCAAGATCGCAAGGAACCACAGTAGCTAACCCTGTGATATACTGGCCCTCGAAATTCGGGAATTGCGCAGCTATGTGGTATATTAGTTGTAGATACCGACTTCAGTGACTCGACAAATGGAAAGTTGCTGGTTCGCAAAAAAGGTCACACTAGAAGAGTTAAATTTAAAATCTTTCAGTTGCACATGAGTAGGGAACATTCCCTTAAAATTAAAGCCTTCAGCTTTTACCGTTCCCGAGTTAACAATTTTTCCATCAAAATTTTCACGTGTTCATACATGAGTACCGGGCGGTTTTAAGGGGCTGAATTTAAAATCTTTTGGTCATACATAAGTAGGGAACATTACCCTAAAGTTCCAGCTTTCTAGCTTTTTTCGTTCCCGGGTTAGCGATTTTCGCGCCGAAATTTCCACGCGCTTGTAAGTGGGCCCC